AGAATAGAATAGAATAATAAACTGTAAATAACACAATGCTAAAAACTTTCAGGAATCAATTCTTTCTGAAAAATCAGCTTCGTTGGGAACAATGAACAACAAACAAAACAAAGACCAAAGGTACAAACCTGTAGGAAGTGATTATTTTGAGGGTGTTTGTTTTTCTTAAGAAATCCCATGTCCTAGTTGATATTACCGCCAATCCTGAAATTGAAGTAGGTTTTTCACCTTGAGAATCTGGGGGGTGGATGAATTAACTTCTGCACCAAGTTCATGCACAGTGGTTAGTTTTGTCCAATCAGTTGCCACAAAAAAAAATTAACCATGTGACTCCCAAGATTGGTATGTTGTTTTGCCTTTCTCTTTCCAATTCATTTTCATTTTCATTCTTTTATTAATATTTTCATAACCCGGTGTCCGTCCACTGACTCCACTCAATATTTCCATCTGACCCGGCGGCACCCACGCCGCCATCAGCATCATTCCCGGCGCCCGCAGATAGATTTCCGAGCAGATCGTCCAAGTTAACACCCATATTCATTCCCATGCCCATTCCGAGGCCGCCAAAGCCAGTAACGCCCATCCCCATGCCAAATCCGGGGGTCCCTGACATGGAGTGGTCGCGGACAGATTGGTTATCAGGCTGATGCTGCTGGGATAATTGGTGTTGCTGTTGATGCTGCTGTTGAGATAGATGCTGCGATTCCAGGTCCTGCCAGAGGAAGGACTCATCGGACATTGAGATGAGGTCCGGACTTTGCAAGAGTCCCCCTGGAGACGTAGAGCCCGATGCGGACGTCATTTGGTTCCCGAGGGTGGAAAGTTGTGGAAATTGTTTTAAATGGCGTGGTAATGAGGAGGCTGTGCCACCGGAAGTATCCTGAGTGTTATTGGTGCTGGTAAACGACTGGAACGAGTGGAACGGGTCGAGCCTCGGAGTAGAGGCAGATGTTGGATCTGTAGAAGAATTTGTCAAAGATGAAGACGACCTTAATCCATACTGTGCGCCTGGGATGTTGGACTCCTTTTTGAAATGGTCGTTTTCAAGCGTCGACATGGGCTGAGTTGGATAGGCGAAGGGGTCGTCGGATGGGAACATCATTGGCATTAGATCTGGTATATAGGCCATGCTATCCAAGGGAGGTGAAAATGAGGTGTCCTGTTTCAAAGATGATGATGACAGCGAATGTGCCTGCTGCTGCTGCTGCTGCTGTTGCTGATGGCTCGGTAGTTGGTGAAAGGACAAAAATGTCTGCTGCGAGGAAGAGATGGGCGACGGTGATGGTGTCAAAGAACTTCGCATCATATCTTCGTCATTGGCAGACGATGACTTCGGAGTAGACTCAGGCAGACCAAACGGCGACTGCTCATTCGCTCTCCATGAGCGCAGGGGCTGAATATGGTGGCTATCGTCAACACTTGTACCTAGTGTCTGATTCCTTGCTGGTCCCAGTTGTTTCGAAGCTTGCAGATGAACAGGGAACGTTTTTGCTCTTTGGGGAGGTTGCACGATCAGAGTATCAGGGGTAGCCGTAGTAACGTTGGGTGGTGTCATTGTGCCCCTGGGTTTCGATGCCGGTGGTGGAGTAGGTTGAGCACGTTTCCTATTCAAGGGCACTGGAGTATTCCGTCGATTTTGCAATTTTTCGGGCAGGTGTTTGAAAATAGACTGAGAGAAGCTGATATCAGTAAAGGCAGTCCACGAAAGGAATCGGACTTTAGCCGAAACGGGGGCAAGGGGGAACAAACATTTAAGCTTTGAGCACACCGATCCGCAGCCATACTATTCTTAGCCAGCCCTGCAAGTGCATTCTTGCCTTCGAGAGCATCTTTTAAGATGCCGTCTTTGACAGTAGCCGACTCAGGATTTTCAAGGATGAAGAAGAGCAGTGACAACACGGCAAAATACGTAGTATACATCGTAAACCAGTAAGAGCCATTGAGGAGCTTCTTCTCTTTCATTCCAGCGGTAATGTGGACGACATTACGCGCCACACTCACACATGCAGCAGCACATGCAAAAGATCGTTTGTCAATTTTCCGGTCCTGCGCGTTGCCAGTAACATAATGAAGGAACGGGCGATACATAACCATCTGCACGTGAGCGTAGCCAATCCGAAGTAATTGCCTCATTCTTTTTGGCCAAGCTGTCAGTGTGAGAACACATTTTAGGAGTTCGATTTTATTTATGATGACAGGAGAACACACCTCTCGATATGAGGGGGAGCATCCCCTCCCGGTCTGAATGAATCGGGAAGATCCTCATGCCAAGCCTGCAAATCACGTTCAAGTTCGCGAATTTTTGAGTGGCTCACCATGTATGTATGGTTTGCACCTTGGTTTGCGACCTTCACAGGGTAGATATACTTGACAACTTTCATGACAATGCGACCGAGACGGATATGTGCGTTCACGCCAGCCATCAAAGTGATATGGTTTGGCGGTATTGGTAAAATTTTCTCCGCGGTGATGAACTCATCATCGATAGCTTGCGGGTATTCTTGATCGATATCGTCTTCACTTAGCATTGACGGTAGGCCAAGGATCGTACTTACGTGCACATCCATTTTTCGCACGACCCAAAATACCCTCTTTCGAGTTTCTAGCTCTATAGGATTAAAATTGGCTGAAACGGATCGATGAAGGCCAAGGCGGAGTGAGGCACGTAACGCGATACCTATATAGGAGTAGCAGGTGCTGATGTTCGCTGATGACTGAAGGAACAGGATCATGAAGCAGACAGTCTGTAGAGACGTAAGGTCACGGCACTCCGTAATGTCAAGAAGCTGTCGTCCTGCTTTGAAATATTGGAACCTGTTTTTCGTAGCAAGGAAAGCTGTCAGTAAACAAACGTACGAATCAAGCGTGGATGCAGTCCCCCGTAAGGAGAAAATATCCCGGAAAAGAACAGTAGTAGTACCCTTGATCTGTTGCGCTCTCGTAACCCGACTTATCTAGTGTAGAATCACCAACCCCTCTAAAAAGACAGCCCACAGCAAGGACCAGATATAACAAGGGCAAAAAACTGTTCTCCTCATTCGAGAAATTCTCAGGCGGGGTGTCATAAATTCGATCCAACATAACATAGAAGCTAGGTATATGTAGCAATCGCATGATGCAGCAGCCATCTTCGAGGGCATTCATACAGAGTTTGCGGGCAACCTCCTTTTCGGGCAAATCATGAAGCGGAGACAGATGGGAGTCAATTGGGGATTCCGATGACGATTTTGTTCCTTCAAGAATGTGGGAAATATTTTGGAATTTGGTCTTTGGCCGGTCTTCAGGTCGAGGGTCCGGTAGATTACCAAATTGTTTCCGTAGGTGGCGCATAAAAATTAACCCCGACGATTGGCCATGGTAATCCCAATGTCCTTGATCGTCAACATCAAGCAAACCCGTATTATCGACCATCGACTCCAAAAGCGATTCCTCTCCCTTCTCCTGCCCTGCTAGTTGTTGCCCCTCTGGATCACCCCTGTCAGAAATTTTGAGGCGGTCTCTGATTCGCGCAACCAATTCTTCCGGTCCAACGGTATCGAAGCGAGGGTCATTGATGTCAAGGTCCGGGATCACTGCGCGAAGAATCGCCTCCGCCTTTTGTACACGGTTTTCGAGCGCTTCGATATACTGTGGGGCAGGATTTCGTCGCCGGTTCGAAGGCTGATCATAGGTACAATCTACACGAGAGAGAAAGAAAGGCTCAAGAAATCAGCTGTTAACGCCTTTAAGAGGGAGAGAGAATGATAAAATCTAGTGTAATCAAGCTACCATACCATAACTGTAGACGGTACAATGAGTACACGGCTGCTTGCCGTCGCATTTGATCTTTTTCCGTCTACACTCGTCGCAAGCTCTCGTCACCCGTCGTCGCTTTTGTAATGGTGGCGCCTTGGGTGGCATTGCGTCTGAATCCGGACTTTTTGCATCCGGCGGGGTATCTGTATCCGTTTGATTGTTCGAGTTGCGCCATTCTTGCGATTCATGGGCTTCATGCGGATGGCTCTGGGGATTGGTCTCCTTCCCAGAGCCAGCGTGCGCAACGGCAGCACTATCTTTAGAGCTCATGATGGAAACCCTGACTCTGTTTTCACAGTCACATCGGAACTAGCGAATATCGTCTTAGGAAGTGTGCGGTCGGGCGGAGATGGTCGTCGTCGTCGCTGCTGCTAGTCGTGGTGTCGAGCTGGGACATATCCAAGTCGAACAACAGTTGCCAGTCGATGGCTGTGTACAATTCGCGCTGTAGAAGCAACGGGATACAAGGTAAGGTAGCCAAAGAACGGGGGAGAAAAAAGAAAAAAAGAAAAAAGAAAAAAAGAAAAAAGCAGATCAATGTGGTGGGGGGGAGGAGGTGGGTGAGGAGGAGGAGGAGGAGGAGAGCGAGGCCGATGCGAGGAGGACGTGGGGGGAAGCGCTGGCTGGCTTGGGCAACGACCGAGTCACGCAGGATCCACCGGCCGACCGCACCGGCCGCGGAACTGACAAACCGATCACCAGGGGGGGGGGGAGGGCGCGTGTGTCCTCGGAGATCAGAGCAGCAGCAGGACGGACGGCGGAGATGGCGGAAAAGCGGGCGATCTGGATAGAGCAGAGAGAGAGAGAGATGAGGAAAAACAGCCAACAAAGGAGGAAGAAAAGTAGCCGCAACTCTAATAATTCTAACTAGTCTAGAAAACGCAAGGAAGCGAAGGCGAGTTTGACATCAAGAACCTGGCGAGAAGCACCGCAGAAAATAAATAAATAAATAAATACGAACGAACGAACGAACGAATAAATGATGACGCCGAAATGAACGGCGGCGCTGGGGCTTGGTTACAGCCTACAATGGCAGGGCAGGGCGGCAGGTACTAGGAAGCGCTGCCTTGGCGGGACGGAGTACCCCTTGCCGAAGTACCCCCCCCTCCCCTGGGGAAAGGAAAGCTGTCCAATTGCTGTTGATTTCAAGGATGTTTTTGTTTAGGAATCAATCAATCAAGATCCAATAACAACAGCATGGAAAAATGGACTCCAGCCATCTTGGTCGGGGCTCTGGTGACGGTGACGGTGACGGTGACGGTGAATGGTCCAGTCAGCTGCCCAGCTGCCACCACACAACACACAACAAAGGCTTCTTCGCCGCCGCATATACCCCAGGTTTACGGAGTAACAAGAGCTACAGAGTTACAGATCCCAGCAGCTGCTGGCCAGTGCTGCGACAAATCAGGATGCACAAGAATGTCGTTCCGTGGCCAGCCAGTCGGGAAGTTACGTAACTTTCCTGCTAGCCATGTTGCATGTAACGATGTATGTACAGGTACAAGGAGCAACCCGGTTCTCATCCATTCAGATTGACTTTTGTGAAAAGTTTAACAAAAGTTGGCTTCTCCCAATGGCCTTTTGTTGGCTTGATAACTGCCGAATAATGGCCTGGCAAAAGGTCATTGTTTTTGACGTTTTCTTTTTATTTATTTTTAACTTTGTGTCCTTCCCATCCATGCTATTTCGGACTTGGTCGTTTCCCATCAAGGCCCAGAACTCTCACAGCGGATGGGAAAAAAAAAAAAAAAAAAAAAAAAAAAAAAAAAAAAAAAAAAACCAAAAAAAAACTCACCCCCCAAGAAAATGAACACGAAAGCTTCTGCGTCTTGGACATGCTAAACCCTTCCGGCCACAAGAAATCCTCCACCAGAAGATCCACAGTTGCGGCATGGATGAGAAGCCCGGAGGATCTATCAAAACGGGTCCTAGTTTTAGCAGGCATATATAGGGCGTGTCTGTACGCAGAAATATCGCACGGAGCTAACAAAAACCTTCCATAGCATTGAAACACTCCAACTATGATTAACGCGAACGCGCTTGCAGGAATCATAGCTTGTGCAGGCAATAAGTCCAATAATGGCCTCCTGCCCAATCGGAGCAGCTGTACCGCCCAAGGCAATCGTCAAAATCCCACGGACGGAGAGATTTCTTTGGATACGGTACTTGGGTAATCCAGGAACCTAAGCCCAAGCCTTCGGACGCCTGGTGGAAGAGGATGATGGCAATGAGGAGGACGAGGAAACCATCCGGTTCGATTGAAACGGTCATGCCAACGAATACCGAATGCAACAGGATACCGCCTTCGAGAATGGTGATGTTGAGAGATACATCTTTTTGTAGACGGCGGGGTCAACACCAGGCCCTAGGTCGCTGGCTTGGGAGGTGTTGTTTTCTATCTTCTTCCGCTCGGGTTCCTGCATAACGTGGCTGTGAAGCATTGCGTGGGTCCACTCGCGCTCGCGGATATAACTGTTTGTAAAAGGCGACAAACCAGACTGGCATTTCCGATTGGGAATTTACGTATGATCGGTCAAAGTCTCTGGGAGAAGCAAATTCCCTGTGGGAGAAGAGAAAAATGATATGATATCACAGATTAGCATTCTCCGAACTGGGGATTAGAAGTGTGTTGGAACACACTGTGACTTATAGAACGTTTTACTGTCCATCCCAATCATTGTCTAGGGTTTTGTTCATGACCTTGTTTTCCTTGGGCTACGAAATCTTTTCATGATTACTATTACCACCCAACCACACCCATGGCCAACATGGACGAGATCCTGGCCCGTTGCGCCACCGTTGCCGTGACCACCTATTTTTGTGTTCATCCATAACTCAACACAAAACAGAGCAAGCAGGGCTGCCAGTATACTAACACCAGGCATAGCAGGATACTGCTCTGTGAACAAAGGCGGCAGGCATGGGTCGGTTAAAGATGCGAATGCCGTTGGTAGTAACTGGATCATGTTAGCATCCCAACATCCGCACACATCAAAACCATCATCACTCCGACAGCGAATAATTTACATGAACACAAACAGGATCAGGACACCAGTTCCAAAATGTTTGCAAAAGAAGAATGCATTTGGTGGGATCTTCATGGATGGGATCTTCTTGGCAGCCACAGGGAAACCACATGCTGAGCGAAAAGTAAGTAAGTTTTATCTGTTTTATTTCTCCAACGAGTAACCGTGAAATAAGGATCTTTACAGAGCGTGCTTACAATGGGCACAAGAACCAGGACATTGTTAGAGAGCCGGTACCTTACACAGTCAATGCGTTTGGTAGAGTGGGGATGCACGTACAGAGGGCACCGACATGAAGCGGCAGATCATATTCCTCCGCTGCTTTGCCAGAGCCGCACTTTGGGCGTTCAGTTGCTTCCATCTTGTCGTCCCTAATGGCGTACCCGGGCGAAAGACACCGCGAAAAAAAGAAGGATCGTTAAAATACAACAAATGAAAGATATAATAAAAGCAAGAAAGATGGATATGACTTCCCTACAGCCAGTGGGAAACAAAGGGTAAACAAAAGTACTAATAGCATTGACCAGCAATGCCCAGGCAAAGAGAGTGAGGCAGATATCAAACCATCTTGAAAGGAAATGAAATTAGAGATGTTGCGATGCTTGACAACAAATATCGATATGCGCTGAAGTACATAGATAAAAATTAGGATTGGTGGATCAACTCGGTCAAGGTGAAAGCTGAGGAGTCCCTGTTGGATGACTCCGGATCCACGACGAGGTGTTACGAATGAAAGAGGGCGGGATACTTGGATCCATCATTGGGACATAAAACGGCTATAATGCAAAAAAGTACCTAGCAATGGGCAAGATAGGGCCAGTATTTGCAATCCTGAAGCGGTTTATCAACTGGACGTGGGCGCTCAGATCACAAGATCTGGGTAGGAGAGAGCCTTGGGATATAAACTCGATTTATGAAATGCGCATCGCATTCAGCTAAATCGTTCTCGGAGGCTGAGTATACAAGAAGGAACAAGAAAAATAAAAAATAAAATGAAAAATGAAAAATGAAAAATGAGGAGAAGAATGGAGAAAAAACAGTTTTAGCCAGAAAAGCCAAAACCTGAAAAGTAGGCGACGGGGTTCGAGAAAAAGGAGCACACTCCACACTGTTCAAGATATTTAGTCCACGGCTCGACTTGCCTCGAAAATCGACATATAAGGCCATCACTACCATACACTACCATACGTACTCGCAGTTAGCCAGTAAGTGAAACGATACATTGGCAAAGAAGATGCTCCGAAGATGAGCGATATCCTAGGGTTCCCAGGTCATTCTGTTGGCCAGAACAACGCTGTCACGGCAGAGCGGCATGACTGTTAGACAAACGACTGCCCATCCTGTCAAGGAGGTTAGAGAGTGAAGGGCCTTGTTAAAACTCCGCTAGTGGGTGCGATTTGTATGCAAGAGCGCGTTTTATATCTGACCCTAGGAAAGGGGGTATGTATGCTGTGCCGAGGGAGCAAGTTATAATGCCAAGGCGTTAGCAGCCCCAACCCCTTTTTAGCCGCCCAATGCAACATATCTGACGATCTGATTGGTCGCAGCGGATAAATCTCATCGCCTACTATGTACCCGTCATTATCATGTTATCTCCCCCTGACTTCGGAACAAGATGCACACTGCCCTCACGGAGCCGGACGGTTTGGCGTCCACGACTCTATATCTCGATGTTTCTGTTGGTCAACAGCGCGACGGATCTTAGTATCTGTGGCGATACGTAATGTTTCTCAAATTGAAATTTATATTGTATTGGCACTCTTGTCATTGCTATTGAGACATCTACCTTTCAACTTGCATCCCACTGGCGCGTTCTCCTCAAGAGTTTTGCCGTTTCTATATGGCAGATCCAACGAACAGCTCTGTAGAGCAGACTCCAGTACAGGAGATGCATGCTACTTCTTCTCATCCTACCTCAATAGCTTAGACTCCAAGGTCTCCAAGAATAACACCCGATAGTGAGGAAGTGATCGACGAATGCGTCCCACAAACCAGCTTTTTTGCCTTCTTGGAGAGGGATATCGCAAGCCAACAACAACCTCAATGATTCTCTCTCCCTCCATCAACCGAAAAGAACAGAGCTTACCCGCGATTCCATCAAGACGGACTATCCCTCCGGGAACCATAGAAAAGTACATAAATTCCACGCCCGCCAGAATAGTCTCATCGACCAGTTCCTCCAGAGCAGCGATGAGGAGCGATTGGCTCGACTCGACTTTGAAAAGAACGGCGGCAAGTGTAAAATGGGCCGTAAACGGGAGCTTTAGTGTCAATCTATGCCTCTTCGTCATCCAAACGTTCGCTGCTATATTCCACGGACTCGCTGGCCCTCTTCGCAGTCGCGACAGATGCATTCATGGATCTAGTTTCGTCCGTGGTCATCATGCTCATCACTTCGCCGATGGCCGCCCTTACCTAAACCTCACAAATATCCCGTGGGACAGCGCAGGGCCGAAACGGTGGGCATTGTTCTCTTCTGCGCCCTGACGACCAATCGTCGCGGTGCAGCTTATTATCGAATCGATCCGAAACTAAAAGCTAACCCCACTGATCTTTGTTGGGGTAGCAGCTATCTTTACGAAATTCTGTCTGTTCCGCCACAGTCTCTGGATCCGCCGCTACCCAGCGGCTCACATCTTCTTCATCGACCACAGCAATGATCTTGCCGTTAACATATTCGGTCTCATCATGTCAATTTTGGGCGATAGATTCGCATGGTATCTGGATCCCATCGGGGGCCATCTGCATTGCGCTCCCCATCCTCTTCTCCTGGGTCGCAACCGCGTTCGACAACGTCTGGCTGCTGGTTGGCAAGACTGCGCCACGCGAGTTCGTAGATAAATGTATTTACGTTGGCTCAACGCATGACTGGAGGATTCAAGAAGTGGACACTGTAAAAGAGATCAGAGAAAAAACCCGTAATCTCTCCTATCCCATCCATCCGCGGCGCTCGTTCGCCCCGCTAAAACACCGACTACATAGTGCCGAGCCTACCATACCGGGGAAAAGTTCTGCGTAGAGATGGACGTTGCTGCGGACGAAGACACCTCTGAAAGTTTCGCATGATGTGAACCAGTCGTTACAGCGCAAGCTGGGAGGGTTGGCCTCCGTCGAACGCGCATTCGACCATGCGGACCATGAGGACACTCACAATCCCATGAGGAGCACAAACCGCTATATACTACCGCTCGGCCGCAGAGGCGAACCCTTCGAGCGTGGCTAGGCTAGGGTGGATGCTTAATAAAGAAGAATAAACAATAATGATAATGATAGTTAATGAGGAAGCAGGACTCTTTAACACCACCACAGGGAAGGTAGTGGAAGTGGGGGCTCGTTATTGGATCGTGGGACCTCGGGACGGGTGATCGACACCGGGGAGAAGATGGCCTGACTCCCGGGGAGGGGTGGGTTTTGGGCACGAAAAAAATTCCAAATCCCGAGAAAAAGGCGCATCGTGGGGCCATCCATAGATCTGAGCTAGCAGGGATACGATACAGAGGAGACAAGTAGCCAATTATCGACCGGGAAGTGGAGACCACAGATCCTCTCTCCCCGTCATGTCGCGTCTCTTTTCCTAGTACGGAGTACAGTACGGTACGTAGTATGCCTGCCCGGATCACCTGATTTGCGGATGTGTGAGAGAGGTTGAACATGGTTGGTTGTTGTTGTTATGATCTAACTAACTAGCAGCTAGTGGAAGCTAAATATATGTGTGTGGGTCACGTGGGTTAGGGCTTGTGTAGTAGCTCCAACACCCCCCCATGCTACGCAGGCCAGTTAACCCACGCAGTCAAAAGCACCCAAATCATTCAAATCTGCAATAAAAATTAATTACAAAAAGTAGAGTCTAGTTTCCTCATAAGGACTAGCTCCATACATGAAAAAAACATAAAAAAAATGCAAGAAGAACGCACAAATCCATTCTTTCAGTATTGGTATTACCCCCAGTCATTCTAACGCCGCGGGATCTCATTCTCATTATTTTTGTGGTTTTGATTGTCATAGGCATAGGCATAGGTCATCGGCATAGGTCATCATATGGGCAATCGGTGGCCCGGCATCATATAGGCACTGGGGCCTGGCATCGTTATCGGTATTTCCATCGTTTTGGCGTCGATATTGGCGGTCATCATGAGCATCATTAGAAGACTTGCTCAGTATTGTAGCATACAGGTGTAGCATCTTGATGTTTAATATTCAGTGATGTGTCACTGAATATAATGATGGAACATGTGTTACAATCGGCGACACATGACACGGGTGGAATGGTGGATCCACGGTGTAATCACCGTAAATTATTCTTGGAGGATAACGTTGTTGTGTTGTGTGTGTAATCTATCTACGCGAGTTATTACACTAAATGGATGTAGGATAGTTGAAGGTCGTATTGATAGATCTATCTACAAGAACATAATATAGTGGTGGGTCACGTGATCTAGTGGGATTGCTAACCGCAACAGCTGTAACGGCCAACACCCCCCTCAAGATAACAAGAATCACATACAAAAACACCCAAACCACCAAGATAGTCTGTCAAAACCAAATACAAATGTAAAATTAAACATTCTCAACTTTTACACCTGTAAGATCTAGTAAAATCATGAATTATATAAATATTACAGTGTTTAGAAATTTAGTGAGTTCATTTACTATTATCTAAGTAGTGAGAATATATTCTAAATTAATAATCTTCTGATTTAACTGTTAATATGAAAAATGAAAACATGTGTCAATATGCTTACTTCAGACTGTAATAGCTATTATCTTTATAAGATTTATAACATTCTTATTATTAATAAGAATCTGTATTAAAGATATAATAATAAAGTTAAGCTTAATTATGAGATTTCAGATTTATATTACTTCACAGACTGTCTTACTAAGAGATATATATTCAGTCTTATTAAAACTTAGAGATATATAAGATTACTTTATTAAATACTATAAAATCAGATCATCTACAAGCTTAAAAATATAGCTGAATATTAATTTTCTATTATTATTTAAGAGATCAGCTCAATCAGAATCTGAGTAACTGAAGAGTAGATAGAAATTATTAGAGAAATCAGAGAGAATGAAAGAATTAATAGAAACAGATCTTTTATATAAACTGTATCTATAGAAAATACTCAGATTTATAATTTCTTTCAAATTGTAAGAGATCTATGCTAAATAGATTAGTATAATATATAGATCTTATATAATAAAGAGAAAAACATGTTGAACGTCTGAGTGATTGTATTGTTGATAGCTATCTAGTGAGTGATATATGCTTGGTGCGGGGCGCTAGTCTGTACTAGAAAGCCTAGGGCTTTCACACTCTCTCTCAGACTAGCTACTGTGCAGCTATTCTATCTATCTTTCTCAAATCATTCAAATCCGCAATAATAATTAATTACAAAAAGCAGCACCTAGTTTCCTTATTAGAACTAGGTCTGATACATGAAATCAAATTCATCTTATTCATCTGTCATATTCATCATACTCTTATTCATCTTGTGAATAACTTGATTGATTCTTCATAAGTTCATAGACATCCGGGGAAACTCCTGCAAAGAATTCATGGCCTGACTGACTCATGAGAATATCATCTTTATCCTTATTCTTCTTATTCTTTGCTGTCTTCAATGCCTTGATATGTTTCTTGTTATGCTTCTTCCATTCAGCATTTGCAAGGTTCAGATTCTTAAACCAGCAGTATTTGATGATATGATCAGTATTGTTGCAGTAGTGACACTGGTGTTCATCAAATCATTCAGTGACAGAGCTCACAGTGAAAGAATGAGTGATAGTAGCAGGCATGTTGATGATGACTCATGTGACCAGTTAATCCATCAAATCATCAAGGTTCAGATTCTGAATAGAGCTCTGTTTAGTAGCATAGAATTCATCCAGCTTCATTCTAATGAATTCCTGTTATCAATCTCTCAATCCTAGAATGAATAGATCATGATAGGTACACTCAGCCCAGTTTTTCTCCAGAGATACCAGCTTTGTCTTAAGGTCTCAGAAATTCGCAAGATAGGTGTAGAAATCACTGTTCTTGAGATGTAAATCTCTCATCTTTTTAGTGGTTAGAAGGTGTTCTTCTGTGTGAGATATAGCATAGTGTTGAGTGAGATTCTTTTATATAGTAACAGCAAGATAGGCATCTTCATTCAATGGTCTCAGAGAATCACATACAGTGGTATTCAAAGATTGAAAAATCCAGGTATAGAGAAGCTCATTTTTCTGATTCCAAAGCTCAATATTCAGAGACACTGTGATAGAAGGCACTGTTTCTCTCTTGATAAGAACATCTTTTGCCTGAATAAGATGAGCATCTGCAAGGATTGAACTCTTTCATTTCAAGTAGTTGATGAATCTGTTGAGAATGATTACATGCTTTTCTTTCAGCTTGGCTTTGGCATTCTTTTGATACTCACTAATAGGGTTCTGAGTAGTTGACAGAGAGCTTGAGTTGCTCTCTAGCTTTTGTATAAGCATTTTCATTCATTTGTCCTGTTTCTTCATATAATTCATCATCATTTGAATCATGGCATTTTCATTCATTTGACCTTCAGTTTGAGATCCCATTTCACCCCCCCTCAGCATGGGAGTAGGTGTATCCTGCCTGTATTCTTTATTCATATTCATGTTGCTTGCAGGTGTATCTAACAATCCTGCAGTAGCTCATGTTCTTGAAGGCATTTATTTACCCCTTCTTTGAATCAATCTTTTCCCGCGATCAAAGCTTTCAAAACAGTTACTTTTCATCAGATTCCTTCTGCAGTTCAGTGATGCAGCTCGCGAGACATTTTATACCTCAGATAAGAGAAAAAGTAGTGATTGTGAAAGGTTTAATGAAAAAAAAAGCTATTCAGGCTATAACCTGTTGAACATCTGAGTGATTGTATTGTTAGTAGCTATCTAGTGAGCGATATATGCTTGGTGCGGAGCGCTAGTCCGTACTAGGAAGCCTAGGGCTCCCACAAAACATTAGAGAAGAAAAGAAAGAGAAAGTGTGAGAATCAGTGATCAGAGTAAATATTTATATATATATGTAGTAATATATATAATGAAACTTCAGAGTGAAAGAATAGAGATTTTCATATATAGTAAAGCTTTAGAGTAGAAGAATAGAAATTCTCTAGATTTTCAGCTAAGAATTAATGACTGAGAATTAAAGCAGTAGAAATCTGTGAAGTGTAATGAAATAGTCTATATAATTGATTAAGTGCAGTCTGTTATATTAGTTTCTCTTTTCTTTCTTAATTATATATAGCTCTCATTGATCAAGAGCTGTAGACTGGCCGCTGAGATCATGAATTTCACATTTAGTCTCATTTGATCTGATCTCATACATTTCTTGACATGAATCCCGCTGAGACTAATCATTAAATAAACATGTAAAGTGACTATATATCAGATCTCAAAATGAAACCATGACTTGAAAAAAATGAGAAAGTGGTTCTATTTGGTCTCATTTAGTCTCATTCTTGGCATAAAGTTACTATTTTTAGACATTTTAAGGTTTTTTTTAAACTATTTTTAATTTTTTAAAAAGTAACACTTTTTGATAACACTCAAATGAGATTTAAAGTCATTTAAAGCAATAAAAATAATTTAAATTGAGAAGTGAAAATCATGGTCTTATTTGAAAAATGTGACAAGAGTAGACAGTAAGTCTCACTGAAACAGTATGAGACTACTATCTAATGTTAGAACCGTGTAATGAGATCTGTCGAATTGGCAATGAGACTATCAAAAATTCTGGTCCTGGTTTCAGACACGGTCACACGGTCAGTCTAAAGAGCTGTGATCTCAGATAATATGAAACTCAGAGTTTAGATCAGATAATTATAACTGAATTATTTTATAAGATATTATCAGTCACAGCTATGAGATCTCTTATCAAGAATATCTTCAATCTCTTATTCAAGTTCATTATCTTCTTCTATAATTTCTGGTAGCTGTCAGTTGAAAATCAGTTGAGAAGAAAATGAATCAGTGACAGTGTAATAAAGTACACTTATATAA